ATTTGGCTCCCTGTACTATTAATCCAGTCTTCCTTACATATGGCCCCTTATCTTATGTGGCAAAGGCCACCATTTTCACAAGACTAACCCCAAAGACGGTGACTTTAAGGGCTGGTCTGATCGTCCCAAATGGACTTCCGTAAGTCCCCGATGCCGGAAGGTGGTTCAGAAACCTCTGAGGCCGTGCTGGGTGTCTGCTTAGCCTGCTTCAAGCTCCCCCGGGTAGCTGCCCAGCCTCCCCTCTGCCTCTAGGTGTTTCTACAAATGAACGGTTCTCCAAATCATCTCAGGCAGGGCAGCTGACCCCTCCTGAACCCATATAAAGCTCAAGAACCTGGAGGGAAACAACACAAAAGGCATCTCCTGTTTCCATGATGGGAGAGAAAAGAGTCACAGGATTTCTTTTCGTCCATCCTACACTTTCAAAGTGCCAGTTCTGGACGCTTCTACGTTAAACAGATGATAAGGTCTGTGTGAGTGTCTAAGTTTCACAAGATGGCTAGATTTTTTTTTTTAAAGTGCATGGACGTTTAAGAGAAGGAATAATAACCCAGGTGAGGAAAAATACTGCCCACGGCTGCATTGCACATTTGGTAGATAGGTCTCCGAGGGCTAAACGTGAAGTTAGCTGAACGGGCATACCATTACGTATCCAGCACTCGGTCATTAACTCAGTGAGGGGAACAGCAGAGGCAGGTCAGAGTGGTACTTCCCCAGCATCTCATGTTCTTCGATTCTCGTCAATGTTCCTGGGTGAACATTTGGAAAGTGGAAGCTAGCTATCAGTGAGCAGGGTAGAAGATCTGTGCCCTTTAAGAGATAAATGTGTTATAATCCAAATGTATTCAGCTTTATAGTTAAACGGCCACTGTCGGTGCTGAAAATAATTAATACCTAACTGCGCCGACCGGGAGTGGGGGAGGGCGGGATCAGCGTGATGGCCAAGTTCCCGGGAAGAGTTCTGTGTGGGGCGAGTCTGCACGGACACAAATAAACCCCAGTAAGGCCAAGTGGGCTAATTATCCGCTGTCTTCTCTGGAGTCTGACTTCTGTACGAAAAGACACTAAAGACACATGCCTGAATGGAACTGAATCTCCCCTGGAAGAAAAACTGTTAATTCAGCTCCTCAGGAATCTAAGAAGAGTAGACTGTAACAAGACAGGGCAAATTCTAGGTAAGCCTGCTGGTGTGATGGCAAACCTCAGATTCTTGACACAAAAGGCTCTATGGGGGCGAGCGTTCCTTGATGTGTCGGCACCTCACCCAGAAGCCCTGGGTCATGCTGGCCCATCTGGAGCAGAGTCCCCTGGGAGACGTCATCCCAGCGACAGGCTGCGGGACATTTCCCATGGTCTGAAGGCGCCGACCTCAGAGGACAAGGGTAGAATGAGAAGCCATGGGACGCGCAAGAAAATAAAAATCTCGTAGCAACTCATTGTGGAGCTGATTTGATTAAAGTCAACGTAGGACAAACCATTTCACCTAAATGGAACGCTTGCCTTAAGCCCACACCTACCACCTTCTTCAGTATTGCTTTGGAATGATTCCTTCCCTGAATTATCCCCCACTACATACTGACAATGCGTGAGGTGCGCAGGGCTACGAGGGCGATCGAGACTCAGAGAGAAGGTCTTGACCTTCTAGAAGACACAGTGAATGGATGGAGACCACATAGAAAGGACCATGAAGCAGGAGGGTAACAGATTGAGAGCAAGGCTCTGAGGACATAAACTGTGATGTACGAGAGAGAACACAGGGAAGCAAAACAGCAAGTACACAACAGACAGGAAGGGGAAGCTGAGCATCAGAGAGGTTAAGTAATCTTGCCCAAGGTCACACAGCCATCGCAGAGGAAGCCTGACATACACAGCCAGACAGCCTGGCTCCTGAGTCTGTGCTCTCAACCCTTGCCTATACTGCCTCTTAATGAGAATGGAGAGCAAGTTTGACCACACCTGATCTCTTTTGCAATTTTTCTATCTCCCCCAAACTGTCTCCGGAGCATAAAATATATTCATAGGAATAGAGAGCTAATAATTAACTCCAAGTCTTTGACTGATTAAAGCCTCAGAACTTTCTAATTGGAAGGAAAAAAAAAAAAAACTTGGAAAAGATCCAAAAAGTTCCTTGTTTTTAAATTTCTCTTAATGAATGCAGGCACTGCCGGATGACAAGAGGAGAGATTACAGGAAGGGAAAACTTCCTCCGCTTTCAGGTGCACAGGTTTGCAAAGGAGCAAATCAACAGCGATTGGCACTTTTCGTATCATGATTTCTATGTAACCTGTGCCTTAACTGGCATTACATAGGAACTGAATGGAGGTCATGGGGAAACTAAGCCCTGACTTCCACAAGAGGAAAACAAAAATCTCCAATGAGTCACTGTGACACCAGTTGGATTTTCCATCACAAAAAAACTGGGCAGACTGTAGTTAATTCCTAGCAGCTGCTGGGCCCTTGCTAGGGTACCAGGCGTTCTGGATGAAGGAACCCACCTGGGCTGCTGGCTCCTGCCTCAAATGGGAGTCTAACTCTTTGTACCTAACAGTACTTGGAATGAAGCTTGTGCCCAAATCATCCACGTTGCTCCGGCTGGAGAAGTAAAATACCACTTATCAAAAAAAGAGTGAGCTAAGGCACCGACGTATTAGAACCCGAGTTCCAGTTAATGAACAGCTCAACTCTGGAAAGAGCTCAGAGGGTAAACGGGGACTTAAAATCGCAAATGCAGAAATCCCTGAAAGGTATTTGCAAATGTTATTTGGAAGGTCATGTAATTTTCCCGTCTCCTCGTTGCTGTTTTTCTCCTCACCAAGACGGATAGGTAGGTAGATGCTGCAAGAGACAGTGAGGGAAAGAATTCTCCTTCCACAGTAGGATCCTAGCCTTACTGCTGAACTCTTCTCTTTCAGGAGGATGGTATACTCATAAGTAATATTAATGAATTCGGCTGCGTAACTGTAGCAATATGGAGATTCTTTTAAACATTGCTTAAAAATGGTTCGTGGTCGATTGTGGTTCACAGCGGTATTCTGTATACAGATTCAGAATATTTAAATATGAATATAGGGAACAATATGTTTAAATACAGCTACCTGTGCATGCAGTAGGCACTAACTGCATTTTGACAGCTTGGTCATCCACTTCATTCCAGATTGTTCCAGGGGCTTTTCAGCATGTCTCTGGATAATGGGGTAAAGCCCTTTCTTTCATGGATGTTCAGTCCCTTTGCTGTCCTCCAGGTTAGGAAATTCCCTTTCATGACTGTGTCTCTTCAGGACTCTAGGCCAGCAGGAGGAAATCTAAATTAGGGGGAAGACTGCCATTCTCCAATTTTGTTCCCTCATCTAAAGCAGCCCCTGGCGTGCACTTTCTATAGCTGGCCACAGTATCCCTCTAGCAGATCTGTTTTATATATAGTAACATCGGTTCAGGGAAAAAAAAAAAATTGCTCGACAATGTTCTATTTCTGTAACACTGTGTCACTTTGGAAGCTTAACAGAACGTCCTCCGGGGGTAAAAGTACTTCTTTGGATTTCAGGTGTTAGTTTTAGTTAATTTAGTTACATTTAACTGCGGTGAGAATAAACATTCTTGAATCCCTGACTAGGATACTGTGCTCTTAGTTACTGAATTCATTAAACTAAAACAGCCTTGGAACTCTGACCAGTAACCTTGGGTGAAACTGCAGGCTCCCGGTGATCTACAGATTTCCCAAGAGAAGCCCTCGCTGCAGCTCCCACGCACAGAGGAAATCTCAAACCTGCGGCATTCCCACACGACCACGCCTAGGACCACAGCACCCGCAAAGAGCCATACGTCTGCACAGCAGTTGTGTCCTTCCCTCTAGGACTCCTTTTCTCCAGTCGAGGGATTAAAGCCCCAACTCCTTTCCTACATACCCTCTGGTCTCAGCTTTTCCTTTACCTCCTGTCCCCACACCCACTTGTCTCCTAAGCTACAAAGTAGCTTGTAAACTCGTGGCCCGAAAAAAGGGATAGCACAAGCCACAACTTCGGGGAATGACTCACTAGTGAATTCTCCAGCCCCCTTTTCACCGCCCTGTAGCTGCCCCACCGCAGTGGCTCTGGGGCTCCCTGCAGTGACACAGATAAGGAGTAAAATGCTCTGAAACCCAGTGCAGAACCGTCCATAAAGAGTCCTCTTCCCCTGCGGAGTCTCCTGCTCTCAGGCAGCGGTAGGAAATGACCCACTTAAGGGTTCCAGAACTAATGGACAAACGTTTCGATGAGGCAGAGCGAAAACAAACTCCATTCCCTGGGAGGCTCTCCCCGAGGGTTCCTAGCAACGCATCCGCAGCAGGCGCAGGGCTCCCGGGGCACTTGTTACTGATCGGGCCTGCACCGCCCACCGCCCCTGCAGTGTCCTGTCCGCCCAACCTCTGCACCAGAGGGGCACTTGGCAAGGTCAGGTGGGCTCTGGGAGGCAGAAACAAGGAGCGCCGGGTCTGCACAGCCCCGGGAGAGGAGGAGAGGAAAGGAAGGAACTGAAGGGCTGACCTTGAGAATCTCCCTGCCTGACAGACAGCGAGGTGGGCCCCATTTCGACGCTCCAAACCTATTCCATCAGGGGGGAGGATGCAGGGATGGTGGAAGGCAAGGGGAATGGAAAGGTAGACAGAGGTGTACAGACCAGAAGGGGGAAAAGGAGGGCGTCCCTAGTCAGCTCGGGGTGGCAGAGGGGGCCGGCGCTCCTCGCTGTCCGTTGGTGTCGGCACTCACCCGGATCACCTTCGCTCGGCTGGTGCAGACCTGGTGCAGACCGCAGCTTTGCAGCGAAGTGAAAGTGCCGCGCCCTTGGCCACCGGCAGGGAGGGGCGTGGCCGGGACCAGGCCCCGCCCCCGCCAGAGCCCCCGCGAAACCACGCCCCCAGGGCGGGGCATCCGGCGCACCTTCTGAGTGTGGGCTCCCAGCCCCAGTTCAGTGCTTAGGCCGTGGAGACTGAATTTTCTGTCTCCTCACGCCTGTCCACGCATTTACCCCACCTACTCCCCAATCCGTTTATTAGTCCCCTTCCGCAAATGGCTCCGTGGCCGCGTTCCCAAACTGTCCCAGCCAGTGTACACTCTTCGGATTGGGGTTGCAGAACAGTAGCACGTGAATAATTTGTCCCCAGCAGAGCCACCGTAGCTTGCTTCTAGGCGCGTGCGCGGTCTGTGCGGCGAGTACGCGGCAAGTGGTAGCGCCCCCGCGCCGGGGTCCGGAGGTGGGTTGGCGGTGTCCGGCCACAGTTGTGGGACGCGGCAGGCGCTCAGTTGCTACACTCGCCGAGTGAGAGGATTTAGGGATGTCGGGGCCTGTACGTTTCCCTCGCTAATAAGTACTGCTGTAGTCAACTTTGCGGAGGGCGGAACGGAGCCCAGTCCGCGTGGCGGCCGCATCCGCCCTCGCCCGCGGCTCCCGCCAGCCGGCTCGCCTGGGCCCGCCTTGTAGGTCCGCCTCTGGGAGCGACTTTGCACCGCCTCGGGGACCCACAGCCCTTTGGGAGTGTGCACGAGCCCCTGTTACGCTCTCGTGCGCAGCCCTGGAGCGGGCTCGAGGCGGTGAGACCCCGACAGGCCTGTAGGCGGGTCGGCCCTAGGGGGTAGACCTTGCTTCTGAGTGCTGTGAACTCAGCCGGAAGAGCCAACCCCACGAGGCACCAGGGTCTCCAGTTCTCGCGTGTTTTAAGTGCGTCCTTCTCCCCTTTCCTCTAGATGCCCCACATATCACCAATGGCCACCACCTCTGCGTCTCCCCTTTAGGAGAGTGTGCTTGGGAGCCGAAGGATTCCAAGCCAAGGTATGGAAAGGCTGGAATCTAGGGTTTGTTTGTTTTTTTTTTTTCCCCTTTGTTTTTCCTTTTTATTGTGTTGTCATGTCCTTAGAGCTCGAAGTCTTCTGAGGGCTCCTAAAATCTTCATTGGTGTTTCAGCGATTTCCATTCTCATGCTTTCAACGTCTTAGGTACAAGAAGCCCTTATGTTTTAAAAGTTTCTGTCATGTTGGGTGTAAAGGGCTTGTTTTGGTTGAACTTTGAAAAGAAGTAAGTCGGAAAGCAGTGGTGGGTTAGTAAGGGAAAATTTCCCCCCTTGCTGGTATAGACTGTGTTTTTCCCAATTTCTGTATTGAAACCTAGTCCCTAGAGTGAGTGTTTGGAGATAGAACCTTTGGGAGGTGATTAGGCCATGAGGGTGGGGTCCTGGTGAATGGGATTAGTGCCTTCATAGAAGACCCTAGAGAGCTCCCTTGGCCCTTCTGCTGTATGTGAGGACAGAGCAGTCCTCACATAGGAGAGAGTGAAGTCTGTGAACCAGGAAGCAGGCTTTCATCAGACACTCAATCTGTTGGCACCTTAATCTTGAACTTCTCCGCCTGGAGAACTTAGAAAAATAAGTTTTCTATGTAAGCCATCCAGCCTATGGTATTTTGTTACAGCAGCTGAAACTCAGTAAGTTACTGTTGATTGTTCTATAAGCAGAGGCAGCCTGAGGTGGTAAAAGGAGTGAAGAACTAGAAGCATTCATTCTGGCCCCTTCCTTTCTCACTTATCTCTGACCACAGACAAGTACTTCACTGCTGAGGACCTTCCTTAAAAAAATCTCATTATAGGGGTGCCTGGGTGGCTCAGTGGGTTAAGCATCCAACTCAGGTCCTGATCTCAGGGTTCATGGGTTCAAGCCCCACATCAGGCTTTCTGCTGTCAGTGCAGAGACTGCTTTGGATCCTCTGCTCTCTCTCTCTCTCTCTGCCCTTCCTCTTGTTCTCTCTCTCAAAAAATAAATAAGCATTTTAAAATATTAAAAAAAAAATCTCATGACAGGTGAGGCTTTGGTAGGGGGAGGAGGTAGAGCTGGCTTAACCAGACTTTGTCGAAACCAGAAAACCAGTGGAACCAAAGATTACAAACAGGAGTGGGGACTGTAGCAAAACAGAACAAAAAGGGAGGGGAGAGGAGTGTCAGAAGAATGCATGAATGACTCATTCCTGTGGTCCAGCTCTCTGGAAGTCCCCTGGGTTCCTGACCTTTTTATGAAGCCTGTATCTGCAGGCCGTCACTGACTCTGTGAGCCCCCACAGCCTTCTAAGAACTATCCTATTCAGCAAGTTAGCCAGCGGCCGTTTCTGTTTTCATGAAGAACCACTTAACTGCGCTATGGGCTTCTCACAGGGTCTCCAAAGCTGCGGTCAAACCTTTATGCATTTCAGCAAAGGACATTATCTAAATAATGACCTTAACTAGAAATGTGGCTTCATTTCTTGCACTTGGGGATTGGCTAGAATCCCAGAATAGCCATTTATTTAATGGCTATGTGATTCTGGGGGAAATTATACATACAAGTTCTCGGAAATTTGTTTTGCCCTTGTAGATAGATACAAAACTGGTATAGTAACACCTATTTTGCTTGGCTTGTTAGGAAGATAGCACAGAGTCTGGGAGTACTGTAGGCGCTTAATAAATGTTGTTACTACTACTGATTCTTGATGCAGGCATCCCAGACAGTCTTCTTACTAGTCCCTCTGCCTCAGTTTGGGCCTTAAGTATCCTCTGATCTGGACAATTACAGTAACTTTTGATGACTGACCCGTGCCTGTAGAATGAAAGTGCAGACTCTCAAACAGGGCATTTCAAGATCCTTAGCAGCCTAGACGCAAACTACTTTCCCATGAATTTAACAAACCTGTAAGTGCCTAGTAGAGGCCAGGCACTAATAGAACTTACATCCTAATAGGGGAAACTGTCAATAAAACCAGTATAATTACAGATGGTGACTGCAATTTCAATGAGGCATGGGAAATTGCTCTCTCTTTTGTGCTGCTGCCCCTCCCACCATGAAAACAGAGCGTGTTCCAGGAATCCCTTGTTTCTTCCCTCTGAGTCTCAGAATGAGAAGCATGGCTTGCAGACCCAAACCTGCGCTGCAGTCTGGAGCCAAACTGGGCTGAACTCCACCAAAGTTAGCGAAGCCCAGCTCAGTCACAGACGTGTGTGAGCCATAAATATTGTGAATCACTGCGAGCTTGGGTTTGTTATTGTAGTCAAACCGAAATAATACAGAGAGAACCAAGAGCCCTTGCTTGTGGACTCAATGTGTGGGTAAGGAAAGGAGAGAAGTCAAGGCTTCTGTTCTGAGCAATAGAATGAAGAAAGGCATCACTTACCAAGGAATTACCACAGTAGGTAGAGGAGATGGGTGGGGGCAGGAATTTGGGTAGGAGAGTCAGGTTCAGTTTTGGACGCCTGTAGCCTGGGTAGGCTAACAGCTGCTGGACAAATAGCTTTACAATAGGAATGGCTGAACACAATAGATTTTTCTTTTCTTGTTCACAAAGCAGTTCAATGCGGGTATTCAGAGAGTAATGTTTTATGCATTTATTCATGAATCTAAGCCCTTTCTATCTTGTGATCTGCTAGGCTCTATGCCTTCATCTAGCATCATGGGAAGCCAGGAAATGCTTAGTTGGGTGCATAAGATGAGGATTTAGGAACAATTAGCCAGTCTCTCTAACTGCATTTTATCCTGAGATGCCTCTTAGGTATTTATTCAGATATTTATTTATTAGATATTTATTCAGAAGATAAAGAGTTGCTAGAAGAGTTTAGCTGTCAGGTCTGAGCTTTTGGAAATCAAAGATCTATGCATGGGTTTTATAGTCACATGTAGAGAGAATAGAATGAAGTTCAGGACAGATCAGAGGTCCCTACTATTGGGTTTTTCAACATTTAGAGGTTGGTAAAGGAGGAACAGCAAGTAATGTATCTAATGGCTTCCTCTTCTGTTCATATTCCTGACGCACCACACTGGCTCTCATTTCACCGTCCTCCAGATTCACCCAAAAATCATGCCCTGCCCTTAACAGATGATCACTGGTACCCCCTCTTCCATTTCTGCCATACTTTATATCCCTAAAAATCCCAAAGAACAATCTAGCCAGACTTGTTCGTGGCTAGAATGAGCGTGCTCAGGAATGTTTGGCTCTTCATTAATGGTAGCTGGTAAGGATTCTCGGGCTACCCTACATTCCTTAAATTCTCTTGTAGTTAGGTGTGGCTATCTCTAGGTGACAGTTCTCCCTCGAGGAATGTTTTAGGGGAGTTCTCTCAAGCTGGTGGTGAGGAGGTGGAGGCCAGAGTAACCTCAGGGGCCAGAGCTGTCAGCCTGGGGCCCTGGATGACCACGCAGAAAGCTTCTCACCGACGGGGAATCGCTTCCCCCAAACGTCACGTGAACGTAAAGGTTTACTTTGCTTGAGCCGTTTCATTTGGTGTCGTATTGATGATAGCAGTTTAGACTATTCTAAATACATAGAAATTAGAACCAGGAGTGGAGGGCTGCCATAATAAAGGTCCAAAATAATGTATCATCAACTTGGTATCTGGGCACCAGCCAGTGAGGCAGATCCTTGTCATGCTGGGGAAATAGAGTTGGTAAAACAATGCCCGAGAGAGCCAGGAAGGCAGATGCAGATTCCTCTTGAGCCTATAATAATGGGAATGGAAGTTGGAAAGAACCAGAATTTTAGGGTGAGTTAGCAGCACGTTGCTGCTTTTAGCAAGGTACAGGTCCAAACCCTTTGGAGCCAGATGCTGTTGAGAATTCAAAATTTTTCTAAATGTAGGAAGTTAAGAGGGCAGATACTATAGAGTGTAGCACAGAACTCCCCAGCAGAGTCTGGGATAGCACCCCATAATCAAGCATATTCTTATTTCTGCAGTGAAATGCATGGATATTCACACGAGCAAGGATAAATAGAGATTAAAAATAACCCACACCAATTTAGGTCGAGTTTTACCGCCATGGAGTTATAGGAATGAGCTACAGTAAAACTTATTTTTCAGAGCTTTTTGGGTTTCACATTTGTGGATAAGGGGTTGTAGATCTGAATTCTTTTTTTAAATGTTTATTTTTGAGAGGGAGAGAGAGACAGAGTGTGAGCAGGGGAGGAGCAGAGAAAGACGGAGGCAGATCCTGAAGCAGGCTCCAGGCTCTGAGCTGTCAGCACAGAGCCCCATGTGGGACTTGAACTCACGAGCTGTGAGATCATGACCTGAGCCGAAGTCAGATACTTAACCGACTGAGCCACCCAGGCTCCCCTGTGGACCTGAATTATGAGATGTGTCCAGGCAGGAGCTGACTCATTTTCAAGCAGAAAAGGACCAGATGGGGTAGGAAAAGTCCAGAATTGGAGGCATCTCTGGATTATACCTCAAACTGCAAGAGACAAAACTGTCCTTCCTCAAAGGCCACCGCATTAAAGCTTTTCAGTCTGAAGGAACCCAGCTCTGAGGGAAAGATCAGACTACGGGTATCGCCTTCCTCCTATGTTTGTTTCAGATGGTCTTGAAGTAGCCTCCATAAATTAGGAAAAAAAAAACCAGTCTATGAGTAGCTGCAAATCTGTATTTCTCTCTCTCTTTTTTAAGTTTATTAATTTATTTTGAGAGAGAAGTGGAGGGAGGGAGGGAGAGTCAGAGAGAAAGGGAGAGCGAGAATCCCAAGCAGGCTCCATACTGTCAGTGCAGAGCCTGACGTGGGGCTCAAACCCACAAACCGTGAGATCATGACCTGAGCCGAAGTCAGACACTTAACTGACTGAGCCTCCCAGGTGCCCCTGTGTTGATCTCTTTATATAAAATTTTGTTAATACAAAGGGGTTTCTCCTATACTCACAGTAGTTAGCTTTAAAAAAAAAAAACTATAAAGCCTTCATAAACCTTTTCATATCAGCACTTAGAGCACTAGCTCATTCTCTTTAAAGGTGGCATTTTACTTCAGAGGATGGATGTACCTATACTTTGTT